AGAAAAGATCGACTAGTCTCCTTCCCTCTTCTTTGATAGATTTTGTGACCCAATTTCGTTTTTTGAAGTTGTTGATTTGCAGTTGAATTGGGGGACATGTTATTTCAACTGCATATTTAATCGTATTGAAAAAATTGTTATATACCTCGTCAATGTTGGGCCCACACTCGTAGAGATCATGAAAGTTCTCTCTCGATATAAAAAATTCCAATTGGCATAAGTTTTCGTCTCGTGTGTCCATTTTAGTGATCGTTTCTTTAATCGGACTTATTTTGGTAGTAGCAAATGTTCTTAATGTGAATATTATACTCAGATGATCACTTATGTTGAGTTGCTCCACACTTTCTGAAAAAAGGTCATGATGGAAATTTGTGGCAAAATAATCTATTTGTGATTTATATTCGATTCCATTTTTGTCTGTAAAAACTCTCGTGGGCATATCATTTTTGAAAGTTAAATTATAACTAGCCAGTATATCTAAGAATAATTTTTTGTTTCTTTCTTTCTGGGGTACAATATTGTTATTTAAGTTATCAATATTGAAATCTCCACTTATTATGACATTTTCAGAAAGGGTGAAGCATTCATTTAAGATATCTGCGAATCTATAAACAAAAATATCGATATCTCCGTTTGGCGGTCTATAGAAATTAGCCAGACAGATTTTTTTCCCATTCAGGATTGTTGAGATGGCACAGCATTCTATATGCATCTCCTCCGTAAGTGTACAAATGTTTTCTAGTTTTTTAATTTGAATATTGTTTTTCACATAGATGAGTACTCCACCATGCTTATGATCTTTTCGGTTATAAAAATTTGCAATAGTGTAGCTGTCAATATTGACAGAATTTATGTTATTGTCAGTACACCATGTTTCGGAAATACATAAAATATCAATATTTCTAGTTTTCGTCAGCAATTCAATTTGACTGATTTTGTTAATGAGTGACTGGGAATTGATATGTACAATAGTAAAATCATGAGAATTTTTTGTCAATTTTGTATTGAAATTAAAAATTGTTTTCCGATCTTCTGTCACGAAAGGAATTATTCCTGAATTCAAACCTTTTCACGATAACCTCTTTAGGCCAGAATGCTGGGTTGTAGAGGTTGTCTTGGAGTTCCTTACTCGCTCCTATCTTGAATGATTTGAATCTTCCCAAACTTTTGAGTTGTTCAACTTCGAAATCATGATTTGGAGAACGCTTGTTTAGGTACGCCTTCACTTTTTCTGCAGTCACCGTTGGTTTGCATCGGCCTACGTACAGCCAAAGCATTGGAGTTCCTGCGCTAAAATCATCCGTATCATCACTTGAATTTGTTCCACGTATAACCCTATTGCTTTCTCTCTTCTTGGACGTATTCGACTGCGTCGACTTGTAGAGAGTTGAAGTGTAGCTCTGTTCTGTGTGGACGTTGTTTTTTCGTTTTGGTTTTTTGTAGCTCGCGGTTTTCCACTCAGTGGTATTGTTTTTTGACACAAGGTCGTTGTCCTCTATTTCGACTACTGTATCAGCTGATGAATTGGATGAAGTCGATGTGTTAATGGGATGCAAATTTTCCTCGAAATTTTCAATTTGGTCCTTAGCACGGAAGACACAGTGTGGATCAGTTGTTAGGAGTCTAACCATGTCGACATTACTTTGCTTCATAAGTTCTACCTGCTCTCTTAGCATAACTATTTCGTCAACTAATATTTTTGTGTGTTTTTCTAGTTCTTCAGAAATTATTTTTCTGAAACTATCTGAGAATAATATGGTGTCATCTTGTCCAGTTGATCGGGTATTCACCATTTTTAATTATGAACTGTTTATATGTATATCAGTCACACACAGAGAAAAAACTTCAATAATGGTCATTAAACATTTAATAGATCCGTTAAAATTTGGGTATTTTTGTATAAATCCCACAAAAAACTCCAAACTCTTAGGTTTAACTATAGACCAGACTCTATCTTGGTCATCGCATATTCAATTGCTCAGGAAAAAAATATCTCCCATTATTGGTATTTTATACAAATTGAGGTCTTTTATACCTCTTAAATACTTGAAATTAATTTATTTCAGTTTGATTTACTCTAAATTGCAGTATCTGATATCGATCTGGGGTACTGCAGCAAAATCTGTTTTGAAACCTCTGAAATCTCTTCAAAATAAAGCCATAAAATGTATCTATAAACTACCATTTCTGGAATCAACATCTAGGCTATACAAACCAAGAGATCTACTAGATATTGACTCTCTCTTCAAAATGAAAGTATGCATTTTCATTCATTTCACTAAAAATAAGAAAAAGCACTCGAATCTTACTTTCAATATCAATTCTGATACCCATGAGCATCACACCAGACAAAGTGAACATTTGAAAACTGTCAAAATAAAAACCCAATTTGGGAAAAAATCATTGTATTTTTGTGGAATAAATATTTATAATAGTCTACCCAACAGAATAAAATCTATTAGATTCGTCACAAAATTTGAGTGTGAACTGAAGAAATATATTTTATCAATTTAACTCTCCCCTTGTATCAATTAATTCTGATTGAACTGTTTATCTTTCATTGTATTGCATATTTGATTCTATTTTATTTTGTTGTTGTTTCCCTCTATAAACATTGTATGTTTCTTGGGATCAATAAATGTTATTATTATTATTATTATTATTATTATTATAATGAATATCTTTAAGACATCCAGAAAGGTCACACTGTCAGATCCTATGGACGTCCATAGGATATACCAGAGCCTTTTTCGGATATCTTATGGACATCCACAATATCCATGATGGATATCCATAGTACATCCATAAGATGTACTTGTGCTATCTGGGTTCTTGTTCAAACTCGTTATCACATGACGGAAGTATGTCCGGGATAATGGGAGCATAATTCTTGGTTCGTTATCAAATCGCCAGTGCAATTTTCCAATAATTTTGCTCAGGATAGTGATTGGCACAGGTGCCGTTCGATAAACTACAATGGTTCTACATGCCTTCGGTACATACAGAGGGTGGCCCTTTGAAAACGAAACAGAGGCTCGATCTGTAGGTGGCCAAAACCGGATTATGAAAAAAATCTAAAGCACTTCAACTACATTTTCGAAGAGGACATCGTTCTAAAATTTTAAAATAGTTTTAGCTCTGCGGCGTTGCCGTTTTTTACGAAAAGAAGCAACAGCTTTGTTATTTTGAATGAAACACCTGCTTGTATTTCTTTGCATTTTCAGATTCTCCCCGAAGAGCTGATTTCATCAATGCATCACACTTGGGGTCTAGCTGGAATGATTTCAGGGATATAGGGAGTTCACAATCGAGATTTTTCAACTTTAGGATTTTTTTGTGTCGAAACCATCCATTATTGGTCAAAACGGCTTTCATGTCTCTATCTCAAATTTTGATTTACTATCTACTGACATTTAATTGGAACAGATACAGGGTGATCAGAATTCTGAATCTTGAACCACCCTTTATTTGTTTCAAATAAATGTCAATAGATAGTGAATCGAAAGTTGAGATAGGGTTATATGAGCCGCTATGACCAATGATGAATAGTTTCTACACAAAAAAATCCTAAAGTTGAAAAATAACGATTTTGAACACCCTATACCTCTCTAATGATTGCCGCTAGTTCCCATGTGTGATGCATTGATGAAATCAGCTCTTCAGGGAGAATCTAAAAATGCACTGAAATACAAGGTCTTCCATTTGAAATAACAAAGTTGTTGCTCCTTCGTTAGAAGCGACAACGCCGCAGGGCTGAAAATATTTTAGAACGATGACCCCCTCGAAATAGTAATTTTCTTAACAAGTGCGGAAAGTGATTCATTCCCGCACGCGACTGCCGTTGACACGAACGACGCGTAGCGGAGTTCGGGCAAGCAGTCGAGTGCGGGAAAGACACTTTCCGCATGAGTTAGGAACAATATTTTTTCTACAAGCGTAGGAAATTGATTGATTTGTTCAATTAATTATTCATTCATGTAGGAACAACTAACAAGGGAAATATATTATATATCTACTGATTATTAGTAATAGGTATTGTGAACTTACAGTGTAACGCATTATGAATAGGTTCATATTGCGGATGCCAGCAGGCCCATAAGGTGTTTGGTCTATAGGTTTCAGACACTCCTAGGAAATGAGCCAAAAATACCTTTTCATCATTCGGTATTTTCATTTATTTATTGTTGCACCATTCAATAACACGCGTGTATAGCTTCTCATACCTTTGTTAAGACTTCGTTGGCAATAACGCATCTGTATCGCATTCCTATAGCTGGAAGTTTTTCATGACATTGTGGCAGTTTCACTGAATCGAAAATGACAGTAACGCTGCGTCTGTCACTTCGACAAATACAAACTCATTTGAGGTTTGATTGGCATGACAACAATAATCGTTTGTCATCAGATCAATCCAAATCTATAGGGGGATTTTTATAATAATCAATTTTTATTTTTTAATATTTCTTTATTTTAACAATAAATAGTGCAACTTGATGGATGATTCTAAACATACATACTTAATACTGCAACAAACAAACTCAAACTCTCATATTTCATTACCTACCACATATATTTTGCGATAATATCATATCTTTATTTTTCCCGCACTTTTGCGGGAAAATGACACTAAATTGCGTGCGGGTATAAGGTGAATCACGAATGTAGTTGACGTGTTTCAGAGTTTTTTCATGATCAGGTTTTGGCGACCTTCAGAGCCCCTGTTTCGTTTTCAAAGGGCCACCCTGTATATCATTCCGTTATCAAATGACGGTCGAAATGTGCTGCCGGCTCGTGGACTATAAGGTATCAGTGTGTTGATAATTTTTTTTTTCAGAATCAGTAAAACTAATATCTTTTTCTTTCGAATTTCGAAAAAACATTGATGATGACTACAACTAGGTCGAACCACATTCAAAGTACGTTGTATAATAATGGCTGTATTACGAATGAAAAACGCTTTTAGAATCTGTAACACATAATCAAGACAGTATAGGTATTTGAAAAAGTGAATTGAAAATTCAAAATTTTCGATATGAGATCCCCATGCTGCCTTGTCTTGCTCACACTGTATAACCCACATTTGACTTGAATGGTTTATAACTCATAACATTTCCTGCGACAACTGTCATATTTATCCAAACGTCAAACCAAAAGTCATCCTCAGATATGTTATTTCTTCATCATTAAAGGATCAATTTAAATAATGATGTTATGGAAGATTTCATTTTACGCCCTGGTCTATACGTAAACCCATCAGATATTATTTGATAGTTACCATGGTACCAATAAAGTTTAATCAATGAATGAATAGGTATTTGGAAAATATTGAGATACACAGTCATATGAGATCAAAATGGTGAGAATAACAGAAGAATTGGTGAGAAAAAGATCTGAGCATAATGAAGGTATTGATTGTTTCATTCTACCCACTACAACCTTACGGATTTGTGAATGCTTCAGGTATTATTGGTACACTTGAAGAACTATCTCTCCACCAAGAAGATATTGAGAAGATTGAACATCTAAATAATTGGTGCAAGGACCTACAAATTTTGTACCTCCAGGCCAATCTAATTCCGAAAATAGAAAATTTGAATAAACTGAAAAAACTCGAATATTTGAACTTGGCCATTAACAATATTGAAGTAATTGAGAATTTGGAAAGGTGTGAATCATTAACAAAACTGGATTTAACTCTGAACTTTATTGGGAACCTTGAGAGTGTTCGTTCTTTGAGGAACAATATTCACTTGAGAGATGTGTATCTGACAGGTATTTATTGAAAATATGTATTTGTTATTCAAATTCGATATAGGTAGGGCATAATGAGTCACAGTGAAATGATTAATACAAAAAATCGAATTCCAATATTTCTTGCCTGATACATACCAAGATTAAGTGAAAGAAGTTAGGATTGAATTGAGTGTGATTTATCTTTCTTTGTGTCTTTTTGTCTCAATGTGGCCTTACACAAGACAACACAAGAGATTATATTATATTGCAACAAGGTTATGTTCAGTTGAGAAATATAAAACACATCATTCTAATGAGAAATATAACATCAAATTTTTTGAAAGTAAAAACAAGAAATCTTCAAACTCGAATATGAAAATATATCTAATTTCTATGGACTCTAAATTTATTCCGAACTTGATTAGACCCCGCTGCCGTTTAGTTGTCCAATGAGGAGTTCTGGTAATATCACCGTATTGGTACTCTTCCAGAAAATAACTACCTAATCAATATATCTGTGGTAGGAGGATATATCACAGATGTTTTACGATTAGTTATAACGTATCAATATTGATATAACGAAAAATATAACATACCTCAAAACAATATTTTCCCTTCAAAAATCTAAAACTGAATATAGAGCTTCGACACCCTGATAGGTGGTCAACAGTAATCATCTCATGTTCTGCTGTGAATAAGAGCGATATTTAAAAAGGAATTTTGAAATTACTCCGTTTTTTTTACTCTGTCCTTCGTACCTTATCCCTACTAGCAAATGGAAGACTTTTATCTTTACACCATGTGTCTCACGTTTGTCTCACGTTTAGCAGCGCCACCGTTTTTTCAATTTTTTTCCGCTCAACATGAAGTACTCAACGCGAATTATTTTCCTGAGTTTACAATGGGGAAGTTTTCTTCGGATAAATGTTCATCAAATTAGTTTCACACTGATTAGCATTGAGCTTCTGAAATCTATAATGGCAGTTGAAATGATTCAAATCATTTCTATTTTCGATCTATGCCATAATCAACCCTTTTGACCCAGAAATTTGACACCAAAATATATTCTTCGTCAAAAGGATTGATTATGGAAAATCCACTGACCCCTTTTATTTGCTGAAATTTTCATTGATATTTTGGAGCGAATAATACATGAACATTCATTGATAAAACAATTTTTGTATTGGTATAGATACGTAGATGACATTTTAGTATGCTTTAAAGGAACCAATAGACAATTAGACACTTTTCACCAATATATTAATACTATTAATCCAAGCATAAAATCCACAATGGAAATAGAAAACAGAAGAGTCAATCAATTTCTTAGATTCAACAATAAGTGAAATTAATGATGAACTTGATTTTCAAATATTTCATAAACATTCCCACACCTGATATCACTATTCATAATAATTCAACACACCCCCACCTACATAAAATTCGAGCATTTAATAGTATGATAAACAGGCTAGTGAATGTCCCTCTTCCGGAAGTAAATTTCAATGAAGATCTCAATATCATAAAACAGATTGCAGTCAACAACGGATACATCGTTAATTTGAAAGACAGTATCTAAAGAACTCCAAAATAAAGCTATTCAAGAAGTTTATCCTACCATCAAAAATAATCAAAATAATACAACTTCATCATATTTCAGGTTCAGACGTTTCACTTGCGCTATTTATACATTAACAGAGAAGGAGATATTCCAAAGTTGGGGTCAAATAAATCGAAAGAAGAAGTACATTTTAACCCTCACGAGATAGAGGGCGCTGAAGTTGAGATCATACGTGATTGACATATTGACAAAATGTTATAAACATCAAATAATCTGAACGGTTGTCTTCCGTGTTTCAGTATGTGTCTCAATTGTTGTTTTTTGTATACAATATACTATTTTCATCATTCTCATCTAAAAAAAATTGTTCTAAAATTCTCATCTAATACAGAAGATCAAGCAAACAACAATCAATGAATATATTTGTGATTTTTATGGTTTTCCTACCTTGAATTAACATACTTATGAACAATTTCAAATCTCCCACATATTATCTATTCCAGCATTTTAATTTAAAGTTATGCTCTCATCCAAGTCAATTAATAGTTTCTACCTAATTAATCATCTCTTATTCCTATGACGCAAGCATTTTTTAATAACTGAAATATTTGCATAGGTAATCCATGTTGTGACTTCGAAGGATACAGAGATTATGTAATAGCTCAACTTCCACAAATACAAAACTTGGATATGAAAGAAATATCAAGGACCGAAAGAATAAAAGCCCAACAAAATTTTCCTACAATAGAAAAAAGAGTGCAGCAATGTCAAGCCAAATACAGGTAAAAAAAATATCTTTTTTCTTCAACCGTCAAAAATTCTCTAATTTTCGAATTCTACAATGAATTCTGAAAATATTAAATTTTAATGGAATGGTGACCGTTGAATATGATTTCTGGTGTTTATGTAAGTACCTGTCAATGTTGTTTTCTGTGAAGTGCTAGAAGTGTTTTATTTTCAAAGATTGTTGTTTTACATAATCTATTTTGTTCTTATCAAAACTCCTCTTTCTGAAATATAATTTTAATATCTATGTTCTTGTTTTCATACTTCAGTGTCCTGAAGATGAAACAATAAAGTTTCGAAACGTCGACAATTCAACAGTTGGTTTTCTTCAACATTTCGGCTGAATTCCCGCTAACTCAACACCAGAAATTGAATTTCAAATCATTTTGCTATAGGGAAAAGGAATAGTATATTGTTAAACGAGCATAAAATGATAGTGATTTCCATTCGAGTGGGAAATTAGCATTCCGTGCAAGTTATACACAATGATTTTTCTACGGCAGATAACAGCGGCATTTTTGATTTCTTCGTCCTGTAGCCATCTGATTGCCTCTCAAGTAATGTTCATCTATTAGACAGAGCTGTTATTTGTTGAAATTTGAAATTCCATGAGCGATGAGATTGTTTTGAAATAATAACACAATGGGGTCATTGTGATATCAGATACAGAAATAAAATTGATGGCATACAAAGTACCTCATTGATGTATCGAACACAGTGAAACAAGAGCAATTTTTTGTTATAGCCGTAGAAAAAACTTTTATTCTGATTCCCAGCAATATTTCCCTTAAATATTCCCACCAAATTTTTGATCACCCTATATTTATCAGTAATTGGGAATGCTAGGTAATTTTTTATCATTAACAATTACTAATCATAGATCGATTCTAGGAAATTGAATGAATCTCATTTTGGTTCTTAGAATAGAGGCGTGTATATCAATTGCTGTAATTGCCTGTTCCTCAAAACAATACTTTATCTAGTATGCGCCCATCACCACGCAGAAAAACAAACAGTGGAAAATGTTACTGTAGTAGTAGTAGTTTCATTTATATTTGGTAATGAAAACTATATTCAAAGTCCATATCCTAGTAGTGAAACATATTAAATTTTGATATTTTGAGATTTTTTTGAAATAATAACACAATGGAGTCATTGTGATATCAGATACGGAAATAAAATTGATGACATTCAAAGTACCTCGAGGTACTTGATGATCATTGATGTATCGATCACAGTAAAACAATAGCAATTTTTTTACGGCTATAAAACAAAATCGCTCTTGTTTTGCTGTGTTCGATACATCAATGAGGTACTTTGTTCGTCATCAATTTTATTTCCGTATCTGATATCACAATGACTCCATTGTGTTATTATTTAAGAAAAATGTCATCGCCCAAAGGGAATGTCAAATTTTAAGCAATGACAGCTCTGTCGAATAGATGAGCATCACTTGACAGGAAATCAGATGGCTACAAGACGAAGAAATCGAAAATTCCGCTGTTATCAATTATAGTCGTAGAAAAATTATAGTGTATAACTTGCACGGAATGCTAATTTCCTACTCGAATGATGGCTCATGCTGCAAACTTCATTCTTGTAGGATATCACTATAATTCCTTCCTTGTTGAACAATATACTATTGTGTTATAGCCGTAAAAAATAATAACTGTCCCTCATCTCTTCATTAAATACACTTCACTTAATACACAAAAAGCTCTAGAACCGAGCAAGTTACAGTATCTCGACGTTTTTATACACCCTAATTTTCTCGAAATGTGTGTATGTTTTTGAAAAATCCCGAGACACGTCAACTACATTTTCGAGGGGGACATGGTTCTAAAATATTTTCAGCCCCGCGGCGTTGCCGCTTCTAACGAAAAGAAGCAACAACTTTGTTATTTCAAATGGAACACCCTGTATTTTATTGCATTTTTAGATTCTCCCTGAAAAGCTGATTTCATCAATGTATCACACTTGGGGTCTAGCAGGAATGATTACAGAGATATAGGGTGTTCAAAATCGAGATTTTACAACTTTAGGATTTTTTTGAGTGATCACCCTGTATTTGTTTCAAATAAATGTCAGTAGATAGTAAATCAAAAGTTGAGATAGGGACATGAAAGCCGTTTTGACCAATAATGAATAGTTTCGACTCAAAAAAATCCTAAAGTTGTAAAATATCGATTTTGAACACCCTATATCTCTGTAATCATTCCTGCTAGACCCCAAGTGTGATACATTGATGAGGTCAGCTTTTCAGAATCTAAAAATGCAATAAAATACAGGGTATTCCATTTGGAATAACAAAGTTGTTGCTTCTTTTCGTTAGAAGCGGCAACGCCGCGGGGCTGAAAATATTTTAGAACCATGTACCCCTCGAAAATGTAGTTGACGTGTCTCGGGATTTTTCAAAAACATACACACATTTCGAGAAAATTAGGGTGGGAAGTCCTGAAATGAACACCCTGTATAGTGCAGTTCCAGCACAGAGTGAGATTATTGGAAATAGAAAATAATCACTTAACTGGAAAGTCAATTTCTTTGAGATATTGTCTGAGCAAATGTATTTTTTTCGATACCAAATCTATCCGAAGCGTTTCTAATGCAAGTTCTCCCTGCAAGAAACTTTCAGGTAGGTTTGGATATTTGAAGAATTTTAATTGATTCTTCATCATCAGTTGTATCCGAAGAACCTATGAATTCGAAGCCAGTGGAAATCATTTTCCGACATCTCGCTCTAGTCATTTCCAGTGGATCACGCAGAACGCACTCATTTCGGAAAACCTCGAACTAGAGTCCCTGTATATAATTTAGACAAGAGTCCGGACACAAAACTGACAGCTGTTGGGGTTTTTAATATTTTGTTTCATTCGGTTTGCCCACTTGACAATTGGACGAAACACCATAGTCGTCGCGCGCGCTTTTTTTTTCAATTATTTCGAATTTCTCTCACTGTAACTTTGAAATTTTATGACCGCCAAAATTTAGCATTTTAAATTATTTCAATGTCCTGCTGCGTACATTGTTGCGATAATTCATCAGAAAAGAGATTCAAGTTATTCACTTTTCGAATGATCCTTCAAAGATAATGTCATGGAAGAATGCAATGAAACGTCCAGAATGGAAAATTAATTTCAAGAAATCCGCAATATGTGACTTAAATATTCAAATTTACTTGTAAAAACAGTACAAAAATGATTAATTTTAGACCCATTTTGATAGAGATTCATTCAAGCTGATCGATTTCAAATTGAAAGAGTCTGCTGTGCCGTCAATTTATGAAATAGAGACGTTAAAAAAAAGAGTTCCGTCGTAATCGTATTGGGAATTACTGAATGATACGATCGCAGAAAAAGAATATGAGAATGAGATGATGCGGAAAGAAATTGAAAGTTTGAAATCAAAACTAGAAGATTTAGAGACATTGCAATGTGCTATGTCATCAGTCCTCGGTGTTTTTAATTCAGATCGAATTCAAAATTTACAGGTGAATGTAGACTGCAGGAAGAGGTGGGAAACCGACACAATTAATAAAGCACTCGCTATCATATTCTTTTGTCAATCAGAACACTTTCGAGGCATATAGGTATATACAGGCTATTCCTTAATGCCATGTTAATATTCAAGGAGGCGATGCACCGTGATGCATAGAAGACATGTAGCAAATGTGGTAAAGATGTCTACAAAATTATCTCAGTTATTATTGAAAAACTGATTCTTTTTCAGAACTTTATCGCCCTGTATCTCAAAAGTTAAAACTTTCAAGACATACATTCATAGGAAGTTTTTATCTTAAAATGAGTCAGAGAAGCACCCCCTTAAATATATAAGCATGTCAAACTTTCAAGACATACATTCATAGGAAGTTTTTATCTTAAAATGAGTCAGAGAAGCACCCCCTTAAATATATAAGCATGTAACACCCTGTATATTGTTGTTTTGATTTTGTCACTTTTATTTCTGCTGAGTGTTATTAAATTGAGAGAATCGGAAAAAATTAAATTGAAACAATTATATATCTTCTATATCCCAACAGAAAACAACTATATTTCTTTGACTATATGTGATACCACGTAGAACACTTAAATTATCTTTCTTATATCTAATGAAGTGAAGAAATATCTGATGACGAAAATTTGCAATAGCCATCTCAGGAATTATGAGAATTATCGATTCGAAATTTGAACACCCTGTTCATTATTTGAAAATCTAATAGTTATTCTAGTTAAAATATCTCAATTTCTCACTTCTACCTACGGCTATGAACGGTTTGACAAATAATTTAACCCTCAAGTTTCTGACAATCATTGATACTAGGGGAATTGAAAAAACAGAGCTCGATATATATGTCTTATTCCTTTATTCAATCATCAATGCATTTTTTGAAAACAAAAAAGAACAGAAGTATAACTGTGTCCGGACTCTTATCCAAGGTATATGCAGGGACTCTAGTGCTCCTTAGGTCTTTATATTCATTGTCGTTCATTTATACCGGGTCTCCAACAATGATTGAAAACCACGTGACAGATTACTATGCAACCAAGAATGCAGTCTTATCTCTTTAACATAGGTGGAAAAGAGATACCGCATTGAAAACGGCCCGTTATTTCATATTAATCACCACTACCGATAATGTTACCCCATACTCTATGGCCTATATCATGACATAGTGGAGGCACCTATAAGATTTAGGTCACAGAACTCATAACCTTCATATCTTTCATTGTATATCTTACGACTAGAATGCGCATCCTATATGGCGGACGAACAAATCATTCATCAGCTACAACACTGTAAGTGAATCATAAATAGTAGCGGCGTGTAAATTCGTGGCGAAATGTAAATGGACGCCAAACATGTTCAAGAAAATTTGCGAATTGATGGGAATTAGTAAAACCAGAACCACTCCCCTTCATCCGCAGTCAGATGGCATGGAGGAAATATTCAATAGGACGATGAAAGAACATTTTTCCAAAGTAGTGAAAGATCACCAGATGGACTGGGATAGGCATCTTCCTCTATTTTTGATGGCTTATAGAGTGGTTGTCCATGATTCAACGAAGCTAACAGCTAACTCCAGCTAGCATAGTCTTTGGAAGGGAATTCCGGTTACCCTGTGACTTGTTGTTCGAGTCACCAAGTATTCAGGAGAAGGAGGTGCAAGATTAAGCAGATGAATTGCGAGATAGCTTGACGAAAATACATGAGACTGCTCGAGAGAGAATGAAATTGCCCGGTGACAAAATTCAGAGGGGTTCTCAGCGGGAGATCAAGCTTGGCTGTATAATCCACGCAGGAAGAAAGGAATACCCCCTAAACTAACGGGTTCCTGGAAAGGGCCAGACAAGGTAGTGAATAGAATCAATGATGTGGTCTTTAGGATACAGCGTATGCAAGATGAAGGTTGTCCACCTTGAAAGGCTGAAACCCTATCATGGTAACGTAGGGGCCTAGTTTGATCAGGATGATCAAATCTGAAGAGGGGGCAGTGTTACGAGATTACGCATTTCGAAATAGACGTAGCGCCATTGTTTATTTCGTTTCACCGAGGGCGAGGCCTTCTTGGAATGAATTCGAATATTTTGCGAAAGATCTCGAAACGCTTGGAAAAGACCAGAACATACCAGCGTGCGTTGGGTCAGATATACAGGGTGAGTCTAAAATGTGTACCGAGCTTTCTGGAGGTGATTGTACATCAAAAAATGAGTATAGTTTGATGAATGAACTAATATCCCAAAATTTATATTAAGGGAGATATATCCTTTCAAAGTTGATAAAATTGAAATAATTTTCCCGCATAACTTCTCAACGGTGAAAGTCACGAAATTGAGATTCCTTGCATAAAGGTCTGTTGATGAAATGATTTTTTTGATACACTTCTACATTTCTGATATTGTTATAAAGGGTGTTTTTAGTGGGCATGTCATGATTTTTTTGAAGACAACTTGTTTCCTCGTATTCTTTTTGGTGAAAAAATAGAAGCACTTGATAGAGCGAAAAAAATTACATGAAAACGGCACTCTTATCGAAATACAAAAATTTTAACCATTTGCGAGATATTTGAGTTTTTGTAGTCACTTGATATCAGCAGATTAATTCATCGGTAACAATATTTTAGGAGGCCATGATCAATTTTGCTCTTGATATTGACATTCATGACATGAGCATTGTTGTTGTTAATTTCCTTGGTCAGTTTTTTTGCATAGTAATATTATTTCTGCGATTTTCAACTGAGATTTCAATAAATTACTGCTTATTCGTGTCCCGCTCGACGCGGTCCAAATTCTAGAACAATTTGAGTATTATGCAAAGATTGCGTGAAAAGAAATGTTTTAGAATGAAAAATAGAGAAAAACGAGATGATTTAGCCAAAAAGTTCTAAGCCTCATGAAAAAGTATTGAGTACTTATGAATGTATCTGGTGATATCATGTCACTACAAAAACTCAAATATCTCGAAATCGATTACAATTTTTGTTTTCCGATTAGAGTACAGTTCTTATGTAATTTCATTCGCTCTATCAAATGCTTCGATTTCTTCATCAAAAAGAATACTAGGAAAAAAGTTGTCTACAAAAAATCATGACCCACCCACTTTAAACACCCTTTATAACAATTTCAGAAATGTAAAGGTGTATCAAAAAAAAATTACCTTATCAACATACACTCATGCAGGATATATCAATCTGGTGGTTTTTACCGTTGAGACGTAATGCGGAAAAATTATTTTAATTTGGTCAACTTTTTTTTTTCAATGTACTATCATCTCCAGAAAAGCCGGTACACATTTTTGACTCATCCTGTATAAGGTGGCATCAAGCCGCAGTCCGCAGTCAGGCAGTATCAGTATCAGCGTTGATTGATATATTAAAGCGTAATATACCAATCAACGGTATCAGTATACAGTATAAGAAGTTTATAGAGTATTATTATAGAGAGCGACTAGCGAGTGAAATAGTAAATCAGTTTCACGAGTTACATAAGTAGTTATTGTAATTCTTAAACGTGTACTGTAGATTTTATTGTTTGAATTTGAATGAATCGTTTTGTTATCTACTGAGTGTTTGTGAAAAACCGAACCCAGACGTTATTATCGTAACAGTATCAAATACATCAAGGAAGAAGATCGTCGTAAGAAGTTTTTTTTATATGATGTCAAATTTTTTAGGCACTGTATATCATGTATGAAATATATTTCTATTTGAAAATGATATTCCATTCTGAATTCTGCATTTTTATAATTGCTATTAACAATTTTACAATTTTCAGAATGTTTAGAATGGAGCAACAGCAACGTATGTCCAACAAAGACACTACTTGCATATCTGACGAAGAATTTTGGAATACATCTAGTGAAAACTGTCCAGAATCTAGAGTGGAAATGGCAAATCGACAAAGGAAATCGAAGAAGAGCAATGAGAATAAAGAAATATCCAATACTGAAAGATCCGCAAGACTTTTTTCAAAAGATGGCAAGCCACTCAATATCAATCAGGCCAAAATCGACTTCAAGTTCAATGATGACGATCCAAAGCAGTTCGTACTAGATATTGCTGTTTACAAATTTATGGATAGTAATCTGATTCAAATCGATTTACAGCCAATTTACGTTAAAATACTGATAAAAGGTAGGATTTTAATAGAACACTTTATGAAAAATTATGAGAACAACATTAATTTGTAGGAAAGATATTTCAAATCGTTTTCCCAGAAGAAATTTGCACTAACAAAAGTATCGCACAGAGATCTCAAACCACGGGGCATTTAGTATTGAAGCTTCCAAAAGCCAATTATGATCATATTGTTGAAAAATACAACAGCCAATCTTTCAAGCAAAAACATAAATCAGAGATGATAAACCATGAATTGGAGAAGAAACACGAGTATCTAGAAGTCGAACACAAGGAAGATATGGATTTTAGTAAGATTGTTGAGAATCAAAATAGGGTTAGAAACCTGTACGATGACCCAGAAGTACCACCATTAGAATATTTCTAGAAGACAGGATGAACGACACATCTGCTTGTCATAAATTGATGGCAAGTGAAAATGACTGTGGCAACATCACAATGGATTAATAAGTGTTAACATTTGAATGTATTTTTCATTGAACCATAGAAAACAATATAGCACAATAAAGTTGAAACAATAAAAGTGTTAAATTCAATCAATCATGGAGATATGTGAAGAAACTCATCTCGTTCAGAGGTGAGCTGACCTTCAAGTTGATTATCACCATCCACAACTGTCTTCAATAAGTGTTTGTCTGATCGAGTATGATCTGGCCTGATTCTGATCTGGTCAAAATATGGTACCTAATAACGGCCTATAAGTATAAGTGAAACGTGGGAACTTCTAGGAAAGATGAAGGGGCGGTGCGAATGAAGTGGTCTATACTCATGAAAAGTATAAATCCGTCCTCGGTTTGTTCTTCCGATCGATCATCTTCAATGGGCTATGTCTTGGAACAAGATAGACCATGACATTTTACTTGATTCTTTGGGATTTTCTCTCCTCGTTTCTATAAAATAAAAATATTCGTATTATTTCAATATATTTGTAGTGCGACAAATCAGATTATTTGCCCCAAAATGTCACTGCGTTCAACAGATTTTTCTATCAGGGAGTCTAAAAGAAAAATCCAGTAGCTTGTCAGTGACAATTTGTTTGAAAAATTGTTTGAAGGAAAGAAATATAGATATATTGAAGAAATATCGAATTTTTACTTATCTTTGGAATACTTTTCTTTGAAAATTGTGCTGTTTATAGTTTGACACTTTTCAGTGTCATACTGATGTTGGCATATGAATGAGTGATTTTAGTCTACAAATGAGTTACAGGATGTTTTCATTAATTGATCTTGAATGTACCACCTCCTCGATTAACCTACAGACAGTATTTAGACCATGACAATTTTCACAAACTGACGAACAATGCAGCCCCAATCTCTGGCAACCGCATTATGGCCCACAACCTTTTGCACAATAACAAAAAAATATGTGTAAAAGACAATCATGTTCGAGTTAAGTTGCCGTCTTCGGCAATAGCAGGTTGTCTCTCAATACCCATCCTCAGTCCAGAGGAATATCTTGATCTTTGTAGTAGAGTAAACTTTCGGACATCAATGTATATGTATAAAAACCTATCAAATCATGCATAATATCCTTTCAGTCCATTAAAACTCCCAAAATAGAATTTGATTTCACTTTTATCACATTCAAACCTTATATTTCATGAAAATCAGCGAAAACAATTTTTTTCATTTTTTTCTAAAATTTGGACGGCGTTTATTATGAAAAATATTGCTCGGACAAAAAAATGTTATGGGATTTTTTTGTGTGAAATTATCTCGCATTTCATTTTGTAAAATCAATATTCACCAAGAAAAATCAGAAAAAACGTTTTTTGCATCTTTAGAGCGTTCCCAAATGTTATGCGTACACGCTATCGTAGTACATTTTTGAGGAACTATTCAAGACACCAAAATATATCCAAAATCACACTGAAACCTTTTGTATGAATTATTCCGTATCAAAATCCTAATTTCAGTGGACTATTACGGAGAAATCTGAATTTTAAAGTTCACACAGTATGGTTCAGTCCAACTAAGAAAACAGCGATAAAAACCATAGGAAAGCATTGACCTTCGCTTCATCGGTTGATATTGGAGGAAGTACTACACCTGCCCCATATTATGACTTATAGCTTGACGTAACGGTTAGAGTTGTCTTTATGTAAACTTGAACCAAAGTGGAAAGCAAGCATTAGATTAGCCATGTTTTAGAATTGAGCTTTTTTCTTTATTGAACGAGAGAGAGAAATGAAAGTTCTCTCCTCTTCCATCATTCTCTTCGATACTACCACCGTTATCGCATTGAAATGTAGAGAGGTCCGATAAATCTGTCCTTGTCTAACATCTAGTTTGTGCCACTGAACTATTTTTGAATTCAGCAGAATGTCAAATTAACGATATAAACAAAATATGTCAAAATAAGTATCACATCATTATAATCTGAACTATCTGGAATATCTCACTAGAGCTGAACCTGAATCAGTTATTGTGTTTTCTCCAAAGAATTTGATTAGTTAGAATGCATGTTAGCTGATTCAGTTCAGTCCGAGTGAAATATGTCAGTTAGTTCAGAAGGAAAGGATATCAAGAGCTGATCGTTTGTATTGTTTACAAGTTGACTTTTTTCCACAGTTGTCTCTGTCCGGCATGCTGTAAACAGAGAAAGTCAGAAAAAAATAAATTTCAGCAGGTACAGCAAGCACAAAGGAAGAGGCCTATTATAACATTGAAAATAGTTCAGTGGCACAGACTAGAGGTTAGACAAGGAAAGATTTATCGGATCTCTCTATATTTCAATGCAGCCAAGTTGGTAGCATTGAAGAGAAAGATGGAAGAGGAGAGAACTTTCCTCTCTCTCGTTCACGGTAGAAAAGAGCTCAATTGGGCGCCATATAATTGTTTCATCATTGTAAAAATTCCTTCAGTGGCAACGCCACCTACAATCTTCTTATTTGAAAGGTAATATAATTATTTTGAACTACCTATGGAAAGTTATGGCAGGGTTGTCCGATATTGCTCCTGCGTGGGGTTTTAGTGTAGTTGGGAGGTTATCTGTCATTCACAAGAAATGTAAAACACGTTTCGGCACTCGACCGACTAGTTACACACGTCTTATGTAATGAATTTGGTTGTGGTCGACCGACTTCGGGTTTTTTGTATTTTTCCTTCAAAATATTTGGACCACTTTTAGAAAGTGGATGGTTTCCACGACTTCAATATAAGACGTATAACATGCTTTTAAGCTATGTTAATGTGGCTGCTACTTCCACCATGTTGTAAGATATAACAGAATGTATCAGTGCTTGTACAAGTCGAAAAGGGATTTTTTGTCAAATATATTTTTCAATTGACAAATGTTTCTAAAAATTTGGTAGATTCAGAAGAAGTGATATACGCGTATTGTTAACGAAAACTTCAAATGTTGTCCCTATCTTTCTTCCATAAAACTCAATACTGTCTTATCGGCATTAATCATCAGCCTGTTATTATGACACCAGGTGACAAGCCTGTTGGTAGTTGAATTTATTTCATTTTCAAGTTCTACGGTACTGTCTGCAGCCTCCGCGATTGATGTGTCATCGGTAAATAGTACTATCGCCTATTCAGATTTCGTGTGTAGCTCTGATTTTTCAAGTAGTGGCTGGGTGTAACAGTATAACAAGCCTGCAAAATCATTTATTTCTTTATAATTATAACGCTTCATCGATCGTGTATAGTCGAATTGAGAATGAGAAGTTCTATAAGATTAGAGTCACTGGATGGTATTAGTTTGATAAGAGTTCGGACACAGAAATGACAACGGTTAGGGTATTTGAATGTTTAGATTTATAAAGTTACACACCTTGCATTGTGACAAGAGCACCATAGTCGTCTCGCGCTTTTTCATTCAAAATTTTTTGAATTTGACAATTCATTTTATGAACGTCAGAATTGAAATAAAATTTCATAATTATTATACTTTCGAGATAAAAGCAGCTATGGAAATCACTTGCTGTATAATAAATTGCGCCAATTTTGAAACAAATGGATATCATTCATTCAAATCAAATATCAAGCATTCGCTTATGGAAGGAAGATATGAAACGGCCTCAATTTGAAGACGAGCGAAATTTGTGAGGTACTCATTGAAATTCACTTCTTATAACAGCATCTGATTAGAATGAATCTATATTTTAGGCCCATTTTCAAACAGATGATTTCAAAATCTGTTTGAGATAATCTGCTGTTCCATCAATTTACAAAGCAGACGATTTCAAGAACAAAATTCCATTATTATCATCACACAAAATACAAAACAAAATAATCATGGAAAAGGGAAAATGATCGCAAAATTACATTATGAAATTGAAAATTTGAAAACGAAACTAAGGAACGCAAGTAAACTACAACGTGATATATTTATTTATTTATTTATTTATTAACGGACAAGCCAATTATACAATTTACAAAAAGAAAGTATAAAAATACAGAGCACGTACACATTATCATATCTATGAAGAAGACTAACACAAAAAATGTAGAAGGCTAAAACGAATAGAAAGATGAAGATTATGAAAAAAGTGATTAACAGTTTTTTATCGCTCTCCTGAGAGACAATAAAGATGAATTGAAAAGTTCAATTTGGTGATTGTTTGTGTTTGCTGTTTTCATAATTCTATTCATTGATTCATTTTGGCCATAATTTGTCCTACAGAATGGTATCTTGAAAATGTCACTATTTCTGTTTCTTCTTGTATTTGCGGAAAGCATAATCAGAGCAACAATTTCAGGAGAATCAATGTAACCATTGATAATTTTATGGAGGAATAATAGATCAATTTCCATTCTTCTATGTACCAACGTATTCATGTTCAAAATATCTAATATTTGTGGATAGGTATATTCATCCCTATTGAATCCCATGTGATATGCACAACTTCTTAAAAATTTATTTTGACAACCCTCTAGGAGATCAGAATCAACTTTGTAAAATGGTGACCAGATCAAAGAATTATATTCAAGAATAGACCTCACCTGTGCACAATAAATGATTTTAACTGCATTGACAGATAGTTCATTAGCAGAACGGAGGGAGAAGCCTAGCATTTTACGAGCACGAGATGATGTTTCTATTATGTGATGTTTGAAGGTCATTTTCGAGTCAAATATTACTCCTAAGTCTTTGATTGTATTACTTACTGATAGATTAGTATCATTAACTCTGTAAATATGATCAATAGCATCATGGCTTCGTGAAAATGTTATCTTTTGACATTTATTCAAATTCAGTTTCAATAAATTGATATGGCACCATCTGGAGAAATTATTTAGATCGAGCTGCAAACTCTCAGCATCAGAAATGCATTGAACCGTTCTAAACATCTTCAGGTCATCGGCAAACATCAAGAAGGAACTGTTGATGATGACATCAGAGAGGTCATTAACAAAAAGATTAAATAACAGAGGTCCCATGTGAGATCCCTGTGGTACACCTGATGGTACTTCGATTGGTTGTGAAACTGAGCTCCCATATTTCACATATTGGACTCTACTAGTGAGATAGCTTCTGATCCAACTCAGAATATTCGCCTCTATACCCAAAGCTTC